TCTGAAGAAATGCCTCTTCACACCCAAAATACAGGACTTGATGTCATTTCAGGAGCCTTATAGACCCACACAGTCTTAACGATGACATATATCTCATTTCACACACACCCCGGCCAGGAATGGAATCAAGCAAGCATTGCGGATTTCTGCCACAGTGTGGTTTGAGCACAAACGTTGGCCGCACCAGATGCAGTCAGTTACAACATCTGGCTTTCTCAAACCCTCAAATGCTAGCATCTTCTGAAAGTGCATCTTCTTCCTTTTAAACTCTGATCAAGAGAGATGTGCAGACGACATATTGATGAAAATAATAAGCAAAGAAAGAAAGAAAGAAAGAAAGAAAGAAAGAAAGAAAGAAAGAAAGAAAGAAAGAAAGAGAAAGAAAGTAGGCGTATTAAAACCAGAAATGAGTTCACAACACCTCTAAAATTGGAATTCAGAGCTGCCACTGTGTGTATTTCTATTATCTTTAGCATCCAGCCGGACGGTGGCGTGTTTAAATATAACTGTCCCTCTAACTGTTGTTTTGTGTTGTCATGTTGGAACTGACTTATAGCACATTTAATGGGGGGTTTCAAGGTAAGTGAGATGGTTTTACCAGTAAGGAAGGAATTGTTTTACCAGTTCTACGGCCACAAAGAAAGATGTGAACCCAGTCGCAGCCCATCACTCTATCCACTATGAATAAACCTGCTAGCACTGCCTCGGATTCCGGTTGAGTGTGCACTCAACATCAATCCTATTGGAAGGAAGGAAGGAAGGAAGGAAGGAAGGAAGGACAGCACCATAGTGAGGCTTGTTGGGGAGAAAATCAGCCCCTGGACTAGCAGAACATCCTGACACAGTCTATATAGTATGAGAATCTTTAAAAGTCTGAAAACACATTCAGAACCCACATTTTTCCCTAGTCAATAATCGTCACATGATTAATCAGACAGAATGGCAAGCTGCACGAGCATATGTTACCAGTCCATCAAAACTAGGTTCATTAAATGATTCAGTCTGAATTTGTAAGGCCTGTTAGATAATCTACAAGCAGGAATGAATTAATCATACTGGTTCGGGGCAGTTATTTTTGTCTGTGTTCGTTTTTATAAATAATTTCCATCCTGTTTCCGTGTTATGCTAAAATTAACTCAGGCAAAAAAAGAAGAAGTCCCATGGGAACCAAATTTAAATAATCTGCTTTGTGAATATATTTAAAAAACACACTTCCGAATGTAATAAGAAACATGACCAAGGACACGTTTCTGAGCCAAGAACATTGCTGCATTTGGAGAAGCACGACATCCGCCATGCAATTCACACGTCAGGACAGGGACTGGATTGGTTCCTAACAGAATTTTCACAGAGGTAACCACTCATCACGAAGCCCCTGATTTTGGAGGAAATACCTCCAGCTTTCTCCAAATGCTGTCTTCCAGACAAACCCTTTATCACAGTTGCTGTGTTACGGCCTGGAAATTACCACTAGATGGCAGCATTAACAAGTCTGAAAAACCACACAACCCCTGTTTTGTAACAACCCAACACAAGGAAAAAGGTTTCTACAGCTTGCAACGGATTCTTGTGTCCTTCCACAAAAATATCACGACAATGGGGATTTTGAAGCTGTCAATCAGGCTCAGATCGTTTTCTTTCAAAGAATAAAAGTTTTAACAAAGTTGGCACACACACACACCCAAACAAGCCCTTCTATTGGAATTAGTAATATGCATATTATTATTATTTTGCCCCTTATGCAAAGACACCCTATCAGTTGCCAGGATTCTTCTTTGCCTCGTAGCAAAAGTGAATCTTGATTCGGTGCGGACCAAGCTGGATGGCATAGAAAAAGCAACCGGGGGAAAAAGATTTTCCAGAACCACTTAAAAATATTAGGTTTTTTTTTTATTACAGCCTCCATTCAGAAGTTCATCGCTAGCATGGCCATGTGCATTCGCGAAGGCTTTCACGGCCGGGATCTAATGGTCGTTGTGGGTTTTCCGGGCTCTTTGGCCGTGTTCTGAAGGTTGTTCTTCCTAACGTTTCACCAGTCTCTGTGGTTGGCATCTTCAGAGGACAGAGCATGGGCAGAGTTCACAAACAAGCCCTTGTATTGGAAAAAGATTCTCCAGAATCACTTAAAAACATTACTTTTTCTTTTTCATTACAGCCCCCATTCAGAAGTTCATCGCTAGCATGGCCATGTGCCTTGAGGGATTCTGGGTATTGCGGTGCGAAAAAAGTACCTTTTCCAATCTCTGTTGTCGAAGCCCATTATATCCCATAGCTTGGGAGCGTTAGTTTTTAGAGTACAACTCCCAGGATGCTCCAGCATGCATGGGTAGGGCTGAGCCATGGAGGCTGCGGTGTTATATACAGCATGGAGAGAGTGGAGGAGGTTTTAAATCCCTGACCCATGTTAGCCTAGAGAGCCACTGTGCCACCTAGGGGACAGAATGTTGGCCGAGGACTCGAGACCTGGGTTCAAATTCCGGCTTGATCACAGAAAGCAAAGCACGCTGCTTATAAACTGCCCCATAGCACTTAAAACACTCTCGGGGTGGTTTACAAAGTAATTGTGCAGGCTACATGGTGCCCTCCCTCCCCCCATAAGCCAGGTACTCCATTTACCCACCTCAGAAGGATGGAAGGCTGAGCGAACCTCGAGCCAGCTACCTGGGATTGAACATGAGTCGTGAGCAGAATTGTGGCTGAAGTACTGTGGTTGAACCATTGTGCCATGAGGCTCCCAGAAACCTTCTGAGAGGTGACACTTCTGCCACCCTCTATATATATATGGAGGTTGACATGTTTCTAAAGAGTTTCTGCGCTCTGTGGAAGTTGGAACCCAGGAAAATTAGGGTTCCAAACCGCATGGAAACAAGAGAACCTCTCCAGCTGAGACTCTCCCCCACACACACATAAGAGGGAGACAGAATTCGGGACGATGGGGTGTCATGCGTTTACACAGTATGTACTATAAGCAGCATGCTTTATGTCTTTACTAGCCACCAGCATGGACAATTTTCCTGAGGTTCATTTCAATCAAGTAAATTGGGCTTTTTTTAAACAGAAAAAAGTAATAATTCCACTGACTAATCTACCAAACGTTGCAGCCGAATATCTCGCATCCATCCGTGCAAGCGATCGGAATGGCTTTTCCGCAATTTGCAGTTACATTACTCGCCTTCCGTGGTTGCCTCCCTTTTGCAAAATGTGTCGGCGTTCTTCCGGCGGTTCCCATATGCTTTCATGACGCCTGCTTGGTTAATTAAAATCACATTTCCCAAACGCAGCACAACACAAAGTAATTAACTTTGCATGTCGGGGAACAGATCTTGATTAAGGTTGGGAGGGGAGGAGAGCGAGTGGGGGAAATCTGTAGAAAGGACTGGGAGCAGTGGGAGCAATTCAGGAGGTGTCTCTCAAATGCGTTCAAAATAGGTCCAGAGCATTTGCTATCAAAACTGAGCAAATTATTGGAGAGTTCTGCTTGCCATGCAGCAAGGCAGACACTGAGTGATATGTTGGTTTCATTGGAATAAAGAAGGCCACGCAGTGTAGATTTCCCAGCAACCGACAAAGAAGCCGCCCAGTTTCCGAGAGACCGTCTGTCTGTTTCTTCCCCAGCGTTCAGGAGCCAGCTGTGCGTTCTCATGGCATAGTTGAGTGACCCCTCGCCCCACCCATAGCCCCTGGCGTACAACACCCACAGCACAACACCTGATCGTAGCGTTAGCTATGTGTTAGCAGGCATGTGTTTGCAAATGACCAAACTCCATTTCCCATTTTTTTTTAAAGGAAAACAGCTTTGGAGGGTGCCACTGAAGAAGAAGCATCACCAGCAGAGAATGTCGGTGCTTAACCCTCTTCCCCTCCTGTTCGTCCTTCGCCCTCCCTATGCTCCTGATTTCTCCCCCTCTGTCCCCTACTACGGCTTGTAAAAGGTGCATTTGCCACAAAAGCAAGAGGCCAGAATCCTATGGCACGTTTTTGCTTCCCTAAGAGAAACGGTGCAAGTTTCCTAGCGGGCAAATTGCCACTAATTAATGAGGTGCGGGTGGCGTTCCTCAGCGCGCACGATCGCTCATCGGATTGGGGCGCACCCGGGAACGCAACCCGCGCCTTGTTGGGGAGGGGCCCTTTGCCACCAAGACTTATTTTTTAAAAATATTATTTTATTTATTTATTTATTGGATTTCTATCCTGCCCACCTAAGCCAAAGGTCTACTCTGAGCAGTTTACAAATTTAAAAACAATAAAACAAAAAAACATATATTATAGATCCAAGGTGGCGAAAGCATAAGAAATTAAGATATGGCGGGAGGGAAAGCCTGCCCAAATAGCCAGGTTTAAAGTTTCTTCCTCACTTACACAACTTTCCTCCTGCAAGCGGAAAATGGCAAGGAGGCTCACCGGGGAATCGAACTCCCAACCTCTGGCTTTTCAACCAGATACCCAAATGGCAGCTATCCAGCGGTTCCTTAGAACCATGTACCATACTGAACTGACAAAAGCCACTCCTTCAGTTGAGGAGGAGCTTTTTTTGACCTTCTGCTCTGCTTTTGCTGCTCCTAGGAAGAATATAAAGTCTACTTGGGCACTGGGGATTTTCCAAGGATGTTACCTGCATTTAAAAAAATGCTTAACTTAAAATGCTATAAATGATCAAGCACCACTAAGATGATATGGGGTGTAAATTAAAAGAAAAGGGGAAGAACAGAGAAAGTGCATCAAGTACTGGATGACTGGATCAAAAAAGTTGCTTTGATCTTACATGAGAGCTTGGCTTCACTTTCTCATGCTACCTGACTCTCTGTTTGGGCACATTCTGTATCAATGACTAGCTAATCTGCTTTACACCCAACCCTTTTCAGTAACAGAAGATAACAAGGCTTGGACAAATAGGAGAGTAATCCTGGCTCCGAGTAACTCCGAGGGATGTGATTGTGCCAAGAGAAGAGGCAGTCTATAAAAGAGCTTGTGAAGCTCCTGGACTGAGAGGTGGAAAGCTCTCCTGAGTTCGCAGGGCCTGGAGAAGAGGGAGAAAGGGAGCGTTGGTGCCACCGGAATAAGGTCCCCCTGAAGGACGAAGACACCTCCAATCCAGCCAGGAGATGCGTGGATGTAGACCAGGGTCACAATGGTGCACAGCCCTATGTTTGTTACGCTCGTCTTGACCTATCTGTCGTCCTTCGTTGGCCTGATCGGCAACCTCATCGTCCTTTTCGCTTTCATCAGCAATGCCATCCGTCACAAGGCGGTGGAACCTCTGGACCGGATCATCATCAACATGGCGCTGGTCAACTTCCTTCTCTGCTGCTACAGGGCCATCCCCGGGCTGCTCCTTTCCAGCAGCACCAACGTTTTCAATGAGCTGGGCTGCAGGATTCTTCTCTACACCTACCACACGCTCAGGCTGATCAGCATCTGGTCCGTGGAGAACCTGAGCTTCCTCCACCTCATCAAGATCCGACGGCCCAACCAGCCGTGGGCAAAGTTCATCGACCGGCACCAGGGACAGTATGTCAACAGCATCCTCGTGGCCTGTTGGATTTTCACGATCCTCTTACATATCCCTTACCTGACGTATGACAGTGCAGCAGTGAGAACAAACAAGACCATAGTCCTCCTGGCCATTTCAACCTGCTTAACGTACACAGAGAGCTCTTCCATTAGGTACAGCACTTACGTATCCATCGGCTTGGACCTTGTCCTCATCACGCTAGTCGTTGTCCTCAATGGCTTTATTATTGACCTCCTCTGTAAGCACAGCAGGAAGGTGGAGGCTGTCTCCTCCGCCACAGGCACCAGCTGGAACAACCACACCGCCCAGGCCACTAAAATCTTGCTTTCGTTACTCTGCATCTACGTTATCTGCTGGATCTCCAATGACATGGTCTGGATAGCTACCATCTCCGGGTATATCAAGAGCAATTTTGAACACAGCCTCCTCAGCGCGCTCTACGGCATCCTGGCTTCCGTTTATTACTCGGCCAGTTCCTACGTGATCGTGTTTGGCTACCAAAAAGTCAGAGAGTACGTGGTGGAAGCCTGCGGGTGCCTCAAATGGACGAGGCCCACCGTCGTCCCTTGTTGAGAGGAAGGGGCAGGCCTTCCAAAGGGTGGAGGAAGGGCTCTTGTCCGTTCGGATCGGGAACCGACTTGCTCTAAGCCGCAAAATTCTGGTCGCCGTCTGGGAAAACCACAACTTAACAAAGAATCCATTTACAGTTCAGGTGGATGGACTCAGCTCCTGGATCCTCGCTGGCTGACACCTCCGGCGTCCTTACTGATGGGAGAGGAGATAAAGATCGCACAAGAAAGAAGTTCATCGAGCCTGCTAAGAACGCACAGCTGCTGGACTAAACCCTGGCCCTTTGCAGCTGCTCAGGTCTTCTGATCAGGTCGCACATTTTTTTTTATATACCAACGTTCATGTAGATGTTCCATCTCTTATGGAACCACAGCTACCGCTACCTTCTTTTGTGGCTTGTTTCAGGTAGCCGTAATAATAGCTTTTGTAGGGGAACTGGGGGTGTGAAGCAGTCAGAACCAGAGAGCGGGGCAGAAAGAAAGCAACCCGGGACTATTAGCACGGAGAGGACGCCGAGGAAGGGAAAAGCAAGAGTCAAAGGCAGCTCGGGAATAACAAGCAGGGGAAGGCTGTGAGGTTGATTGGGGGACCTTTTAAAATGTGCAGCTCTCTGGCAGGCACATTGGCAAAGGAAAGGAAGATTTGACCCATAAGGTTCTAGGGGAAAGTATGGGACAGAACCTGGGTATTGGCCACCTCACTAGAAAGAAGCCAAAGCTGACGAGACTCCTGGTTAGAGTAGCAGTACAAGCAGGATAGGAACCAACCCCTTTATTTTTACCACAGAGTACCTGGCTATTGAAATGGCAGCCCCAAACACAGTTGTTCTGGTTTATTTTAAAACAAAAAAACCCCCCAAAAATCACAACTCTGTGGCAAAACAAATGAGACAGGAAGCTTCGCAATTAGAAGCAGAGTTTATGTAAATGATAAAAGTTATTGTATGTCATTATCCTCCAACATCATTCATAGCTTTGCAAACTGAGCATTACCCTGCTTTTGTTTACTGATGGGTCACCGTTCCATGTTGCTTCTGCAAATGCCATTCTGAAGATGCTCTAAAGAGGTAGCAGATCATATTTGTGAAGCTGCTCACCTCCTCTTTCAGCAAATTAATTAGGTATGTGTTCAGGTCCCAGTGGCTTGATCACTCAGATCACTTCAAAATTTAATTTTACACAGACACAAAACACAGTCATTTATACAGTGGACCCTCAACTTACAGACGGCTCCACTTACAGACTTTTCGAGTTACAGACCTCTCTGGCCGCAAAATTTAGGTTCGACTTGCAGCCGGAGAATCGACCTACAGACTGGGGGGAAAAACAAAATGGAACGAAAACGGCTAGTTACAGATTAATCAGTTTTCAATGCATTGTAAGTCAGTGGAGCCTCAACCTACAGACTTTTCGACCTGCAGCCACCGTTCCAATATGGATTAATTCTGTAGGTCGAGGATCCACTGTACAGCAATGGTCCCTGGCAGATTTATTGATAGATGCCATGTCCTACACCCTATTAAAAATCTGTGTTCCTCTTGCTCAGACTGTTTACTGTGAATTATAGCAGGTCATGTGTACAAACACGGTATGACTTTAAAAAAAAAGAAAACAACAGGAAATGTTAATGCTTAAACACAACACACAACATAATGTAACAAAGCAAAAAAGCATGATCTCTGCTATAGCTGGACGATGGTTTTCCCCTGAATCTTTCAACCAGATTTAGAGGCAAGGGGCTGTGTCCCACAGAAATCCAGTATAGTTTGTTTTTAAAGAATTAGAACACAGAACCCTGATGGATCAGATCCAAAAGATATCAGGTCCAGCGTTCTGTCCCACACCATGGCAAACCCAGTTGCCTATGGGAAGGCCATCGTCAAAATGTGAATGCAATCACTAACGGATAGACAGAGACACAAGTACTGTACAGGAATATATATCCACCATGACTAATAGCGCTGGGTTGTCTCATCCTCCATGCATCTGTCCCATCTCCTTTCAAAGCCATACAATTTGGCAGCCATTGCTACATCTTGTGTCAGAGAGTTCCACAGTTTAGCCATGCACTGTCTAAAGAAAACACCTACTTTCATCCTATCCAGAAATTCCTACTTTTCCATTTCTTTGGAGGGTCCTGGCATCTAATGTTACTCTATTTTCCTAGAAAACAGCCTTCTGTAGCATGTGCACACAGCAGAGTAGACTCACTGTGATCTCTGGTAAAGGAACAGGAGCTTTATCAGGGCAACTCTAATCTGTGAAACGTTGAATAGACATGTAAGTATTTACATCTGGAAATCACATGCAACGTGGACTAAATCCACTCCTAATAATGCACAGGTTGGAAACATCAGCTCCTTTCCAAAACAAACAGGTGGCAAATGCTCGCTTCTAATCAGCAGAATGCCAATGAATGGCTCCATGCTTTGCTGTTCCACATGCAGGAACAAAAGTTGAAGGCCCCAACTCACTCCTGAGTGCTGAAATCTTCGTTTTCTGTTATATTACTAAGTGAAAGGAAAAACCGAAAAAGGACAATGCAGAGTGGAGAATTAAAAAACAGCACTGCAAACAAGCTGGGCGTTCTTTAAAAATTCGCACAAACATGTACGGGAAAACTCTTTTGGAAATGAAATGAACTAGGAAAATCCACCTTGCTGTATTCCTCACTTACGTTAAAGGCAAAAATGTATCATCAATTAATTTATATCTATTTATTGTGTTAGTATCACTCTTCTCAGCCAGTTCTAGGCCATGTACCGTGTAATCTTCTTTCTTGGGAAATCTCATGCAACGTGGACTAAACCCACTCCTAATAATGCACACATTGGAAACATCAGCTCCTTTCCAAGACAAAGAGGTGGCAAATGCTCACTTCTAATCAGCAGAATGCCAATGAATGGCTCCATGCTTTGCTGTTCCACGTGCAGGAACAAAAGTTGAAGGCCCCAACTGACTCCTGAGTGCTGAAATCTTTTTCTGTTATATTACTAAGTGAAAGGAAAAACCGAAAAAGGACAATGCAGAGTGGAGAATTAAAAACCAGCACTGCAAACAAGCGGGGTGTTCTTTAAAAATTCGCACATGTACGGGGAAACTCTTTTGGAAATGAAATGGACTAGGAAAATCCACCTTGCTGTATTCCTCACTTACGTTAAAGGCAAAAATGTATCATCAATTAATTTATATCTATTTATTGTGTTAGTATCACTCTTCTCAGCCAGTTCTAGGCCATGTACCGTGTAATCTTCTTTCTTGCTTTATCTTTGCAACAACCCTGTCAAGCTGGGTGAAAGTGAACGACCTAGGGTCATCCAGCGAGTTTCAACTGAATCTGGATCTCTCGAATTCCAGCCCAATCATTATGGCTTGGTCCACACCAGACAGGATGACTGATCAATGACTTGCTCCAGGGCCAAGCTGATTCTATGCAGGTGTTTTGACTTGAAGCCTCTGGAAGGTTAAGCTTCAGGGAGACCCAGAAGCTGGAAGTCAAAGATCACTGGAGGCTTCCAGGAAAAGAGCTTAGAAAATACCAGCACTGCAAACAAGCGGGGTGTTCTTTAAAAATTCGCACATGTACGGGGAAACTCTTTTGGAAATGAAATGGACTAGGAAAATCCACCTTGCTGTATTCCTCACTTACGTTAAAGGCAAAAATGTATCATCAATTAATTTATATCTATTTATTGTGTTAGTATCACTCTTCTCAGCCAGTTCTAGGCCACGTACCGTGTAATCTTCTTTCTCGCTTTATCTTTGTAACAGCCCTGTCAAGCTGGGTGAAAGTGACCGACCTAGGGTCGTCCAATGAGTTTCAACTGAATCTGGATCTCTCGAGTTCCAGCCCAATCATTATGGCTTGGTCCACACCAGACAGGATGACTGATCAATGACTTGTTCCAGGTCCAAGCTGATTCTAGGCAGATGTTTTGACTTGAAGCCTCTGGAAGGTTCGGCTTCAGGGAGACCCAAAAGCTGCAAGTCAAGGATCACTGGAGGCTTCCAGGAAAAGAGTTTAGAAAATGTGATCCCTTTTTTTGTTTTTGGCTGACAGTCACCCCAATCCCGGTGCACATTGCTTAGAGAACTTAACATCACATTCCGAGAATCGCGTGGTTCTTTCAGGTTCCTGTTTGCGGAGTGCAACAAAAAAAAGAAACCAAGCAATAAAAAAAATCCCCCTATGCTCTAAAAATTCCATGCTAGACTTTGCTTATCCCTTTTCACTTTGCTACATTATCTTATATATCCATCGCGGCCTCAAAAAGGTTTTGGGAGCATACTTGTTTGTTCGCTTTTGGCAACATGTCCCATGTGTATTTATTTATTTGGAAATGTGTATGCATTTACTTGGGACACCAAGGAAGGGTCAGAGTACCAAAGAGGGTGGGTGAGCTCTGAATTTAGAAGCGAAGCTCCCTTAATTAGTAAAAGGTATTTGATGATGGCACACGTTTTTCTCACCTCCTCGTTTTGAAAATCAAGCTTGCTTTGTCTTGCTATTGGTCATCAGGCGATGAAGATGGCCAAGTCTGGCTGCTTAGGCTCCAAGCTCAGAGGAATCTCAGTGTGAGAGGATGAGCGTGTTCTCAGCTTCTAAATGCAAGCTGACCATCTCATGGAGTTTGACCCTTTGTGCACATGGCATAAGCATTTCACACGACCCATGAACACGGCAGCATGCAGGGAGAGTCCTTTCTCTACATGTTCGGTGCTGCAGCATTCATCTGTTGCCCAGTGGGAAAGAGGGACAGTCAATTTACTTAAAACAATCAGCAAATCACTTGATAGCTCTAAGTGCAACCACTAAGTTCAGCTTATTGCATTTCATGGGGGGTGGGGGGTTGAGAACATGGAAACATAGGATTGGGTGGAACCGGTTCTGAAGGACAAGGGCAGTCCCACCTAACAAGAAAACTTTGCAACCACAGAGGTACCAGGGATGAAGCATTAAACCATACTTCCCAGCCTACTTCTAGACTCAGCTGGTTTCTACAACACCTGCAAATGGATAAAGGGCTTGAGATGAAAATCAAGCCATACCTAGTGGTGCCTCCATTCCCTTTGTTTAACTGTCCGTCAAAGGGAGACATCTCTATGCTCAATTAGGCAGGCAGAAAAGCGCTCTGCCAAAGGACATATTAGGGCTTGCCATTTTCTTATCTGGAGATAGTGCTCTTTATCCCACTCCCCACTTGCTTTGTGTTGAGTCTCCCTTGATCACCCTATTATAAAGTCATCAGTTCTCCCGCAGAAGAATAACTAACTACCAGTCGCTCAAAATGTTCACAAGAAAGGCTAACAAAGATAGGCAAATGAGGAATTTTTCCATTTCAAGCAGAGAGATAGCCAAGACCCAGCAGATTATAACCGGAAATTACACTTTCCCACACAACAAGGACTCCTTAGAAGGGCTGCTCACAGGTGTGTTTTTGTCAAGCCCTGTTCTGGCCGACATTTACAATTTCTTATTTCTGGAAATGTTTGGCTTGACTACCGTGGCACATACCTTAGTTATCTCTTGTACAGTTGACGATAACCTGTTGTAGGTGGGGCTGCCTTCTAAGACAAGTTTGGAAACTTCAACATGCTGCAGGCAGGCTGCCGACAGGGGTAGGAACAACACCCTCGCAGGTAACCTGCAGAAAACACAAGGTCTACAGAAAACCCAAGAATGAAATCAGAAGAGCCATCAAACCAAGAAAACAACACCGAACTGAAGAAGAAAAACAGCCACCCACAAATAAAGTATTTCTGCCATACATCAAAGGGGTCACGGACCGCATGGGGAAACTTTTGAAAAAGCACAACCTACAAACAGCAAACCTACACCACAAAAATACAACAAATGTTATGGTCAGCAAACGACAGAAGGGACCCCCTCACCACTGCAGGAGTATACCGGATACCTTGGAGTTGTGGCCAGGTATATATTGTGACCACAAAACACAGCATCCACATCAGAATCAAAGAATGTGAAAAACACTGCAGACTAAAACAATCAGAAAAACCTACAACAACCATTGTATCCCGGTCATGAAAGCCTTCGAGAATATGTTAGTTATGACCTTTAAAGCACTATATTGCTTGGGTCCAGATTATTTCAAGGATTATTTCATGTCTCCCCATATAATCCCACCCCTCCCAAGGTCTTTGAGAAGCCTTCTCTTGGTCTCATCACCATCCCGGGCACATTTGGAGAGAACAAGACTGGGCATTTTCTCAGGTTGTTCCCTGCCTCATAAGGCTCGGCTGGCCCCTTCCTCACAGTCCTTCCGTGAGACTACAAATCCAAAACTCTCTTACCAGTGGCTGCTCTTTCCTTCTATCAGGTACAGCAGGTCTAAAGCCCAAAAAGAGGCTATAGGAGTTCATTGTGTTTGTTTATTTAAAACAGTATCCCTCCAATCTATTATTCTCTGGGTATTCTGGAGAACAACCCTTATCATACTTACCAATCATGCCTGCAAAGGATAATGGGAGTTGTATTACAAGACATCTGGAGGTGTGCCATTTTGGAGAAGTCCAGCTGAAAATAATTCTGTCCCACCTGTCAGCTAGTTTTGTGGAAAATTTACAACAAAGCCCTAAAACAGATTTAAAAAAACAACCTCAGACAATTAGTTAAACAACAGAAAATGGCAGCAATTATAAACTATCTTCAGAGGAATGTTGAGAAATCTACTAAATCTACCCACTGGAAATCAAACAAATATACTTGGCAGTGTATTTGTCACATTTGCCACATTTGGTGAAAGCGGAAGGTTTCTTAAATCCAGTTTAAGAAGTTGTGGCTAGAATTGTCTTCACAGGTGAAATTTTTAGTGGCTGTTTTCTCATTTTGGTTTTAAGGTATCTACAAGAGATTTTGGAGGAACAGATAAAAAAAGAAGTCAATAAATACAGAGTATTTGGGAAAAACATATTTGGCCTTTTTGATCTCAAAAGTAGAGAAGATATTGAACTGATATTTTATAATAATTATGCCTTAATCTAACATTCCCCAATCTGGCAAATATCTGCAGGTATCTGCAACCATCACTTCTATCATCCCCCATCAGCATGGGATTGTAGTTCAACATATCTATAAAGAACCAGCTTGGGAAAAATCAGTATGTGACTGGCAAAATCCATTTTGCCAAGGTAAATTTGGACTTTACATATAAGAGTCACTTTCCTGGCAAAATCTCATGCCATAAACTTCTGGACTTTATGTCTTCACACTGGTACAGCCTGATGAAGTGGTGTTTTGATCCACAAAAGCTTGGCTATTGTTTGGTCAATTTTAAGTGTTCTATAGAGGCATCACCTATTGCATATGTATTTTATAAATGGATCATTGGTTTTCCTAATGTTTGTGCATCACCTTAGGAACTGTAGTGACATCTTGTGGTAACACAAACATTGCACTGCACTGTGGTGACTGGAGAGAAGTCCCAAAACAGAGCTGAGTAGGCATCCTTCAGTCTCCAGAGGCTATGGTCACATGCTCTGTATGGAGGACTTGGAACAGCATCTAGTGTGGCTGAGAAGGCCAATTCGAGAGTGACCATCCCTTCCACACTGAAGACAAATAAAATCTGTCCCCTGTCCAGCTCCCTGATTTTGCTGCTTTTGGGATTGCCTCTTTGCTTCAGCCTGCTGGACAAGGATCTCTTCAAATTGGGAGAGGCTGTGATGCACCGCCTGCCTCC